ATGCAGCCTGGTATTGTTATTTATTGTCACTACCTCCTTGTGTCAGGATTGGGTAATTTGCGCGCCTGCTGCCTTCCTTGGATGTGGTAACCGTTTCTCAGGCTCTCTCTCTGGAATCAAACCCTAATTCTCCGTCACCCATCACCACCATAGTAGGCCACTATCCTACCATCGAAAGTTGATAGGGCAAAAATTTGAATGATGCATCACCGGCACAAAGGCCGTGCGATCCATCGAGTTGTCATGAATCATCAGAGCAACGGGCATAGCCCGCGTCGACCTTTTATCTAATAAATGCATCCCTTCCAGAAGTTGGGGTTTGTTGCACGTATTAGCTCTAGAATTACTACAATTATCTAAGTAGTAGATACCATCAAACAAACTATAACTGATTTAATGAGCCATTCGCAGTTTCATAGTCTGAATTAGTTCGTACTTACACATGCATGGCTTAATCTTTGAGACAAGCATATGACTACTGGCAGGATCAACCAGGTAGCATTCGTTCTGGACGTTGGCACCGCGTAGGTCTCGACGCACTGATCGAGCGATGGAGAGAGCCCGACACAGAGCGTAAGCGTCGTACGTGTCAAGCACGTGAAATGCACAGCATCGGATGAACGGGGGTCGAGAGCCCGCACCCGTTAAATGTTCTGCATTCGAGAGCACGATCGAATACCGGTGCACCAATACTACCACGAAAGATTAGGTGGCATGCTTGGGACCATGATTGACGTCCAACCCGTGGCTCCTCGGGACACAAGACGGATGAGGGATGACGAGAAATCTAGTTTCCATCGATTCAGGTATGCAACACAGGATCCCGATCGTGCCCCTTGTGTACGACGACCGCATGGGGGGAGATTGAAGAGGATGATGGGTTGACAGTTCTATGCATAGAGCACAGAGCCTACCCACATGCACAACCATAGCACCACTCATATGCCCATTGCGTACAAATGGTAGCATCCACGCACGTCGATCCGTAACCCACCCGATCGATTACTCGATGAGCGAGCGGAGGAAATGACGTGCGAGGCCATGCCACAACCGCTTGGCATGAGAAAAACATGAGCAAGGGCCACGAGATTGCCCCTGCCATCCAACAGGCAACAAAGTGACACCACCAATGCTTGGCCCAATCGAGACCGCACGCGCACGCTTCGCTGACACCATCCCAGGGGGACGTTGCCCGATTTAGGGACTTGTTCCTAGGGTCACAGGCAGCATCGACTGCGTGCACGACCTCGTCGAGGCCTAGGCATTTTTATGGTCGATGAGAAGGGACCGCAAGACAGTCAAATACCGAGAGACCTGGTCGGGCCAAGCCCGTAACCGTGGCTTCTACTCGTACCACCCCAGGGAGCCATTGCCTGATTCAGGGACTTGGTTTGGGGTCTAGGGCAACATCTGCCGCGTGCACGAGCTTGAGCTCGGCTTTTTTTTTTTGCATGCATGCCAACCGGTCGAGGCCATGGGCATCTACCAGTCATCGGAGCAACTAGTCGTCGGACAAAATGGTCGAAAGGCATGCACGCCCTGTATTTTGCTCGAGGGACGTTGCCATGGGTGTACGCAATGAGAGGCCCATCACGCACACCTACTCCCCCCGTGGGGAGGGAGAGGGGGTGCTGGACCACCACCCCCTAAAGAGCATTAAAGATTTTACAAATATGCTACCAGTAGACGTTAAAGTGTCTGAAATGAGGATACTTTTTCGAACAAACATATCCCGCACCAAGGGTGAGCAAGTACCGATGATGGTTGGGGCATGTGCCCACACCAAGGGCCAGCATGTGCCGATAGTGGTTGAGGCAACCGCCTGCACTAGCTCGAGGCATGTGCCCACACCAAGGCCTGGCATGTGCCGATGGTGTTTGATGCAACCACCCGCACCATGGGCTATCTTCTACTGATAGTGGTCGAGGTAAGAGCCAGCACCAAGGGCCAGCTTGTGCTGATGGTGGTCGAGGCAACCGCCCGTTTCAAGGGCCATCTTCTGTCGATGGTGGTCGAGGCAATCGCCCGTATTAAAGCCCAGCACGTGTCGACGGTGTTCGAGGCAACCACCCGCACCAAAGGTCAGCTTGTGCCGATGGTGCTCGAGGCAATAGCCCGCACCAAGGGCCATCTTTTATCGATGGTTGTCGAGGTAACCACCTGCACCAAGGCCCAGCATGTGCCGATGGTGTTCGGGCAACCACCCGTACCAAGGGCCTGCATGTGTCGATGGTGTTTAAGGCAACCGCCCGTACCAGGGGCCATCTTCTGTCGATGGTGGTCAAGGCAAGAGCCCGCACCAAGGGCTAGCTTTTGTCGATGGTGGTTGAGGTAACCGCCCGCACCAAGAGCCATCTTCTGCCAATGGTTGTCGAGGTAACCGCCCGCACCAAGGCCCAACACGTGCCGATGGTGTTTGAAGGAACTGCTCGCACCAGGGGCCAGCATGTACCAATGGTGTTTGACGTAACCGCCCACACCAAGGGCCATCTTCTGTCGATGGTAGTCGAGGCAACCGTCCGCACCAGGGGCCAGCATGTGCCAATGGTGTTCGACATAACCACCCACACCAGGGGCCATCTTCTGTCGATGGTGGTTGAGGCAAGAGCCTGCACCAAAGGCCGACTTATGCCGATTGTGCTCGAGGCAACCGCCCGCACAAAAGCCTAGCAAGTCCCGATGGTGTCCGAGGCAACTGCTCGCACCAAGGCCCAGCATGTGTCGATGATGGTCGAGGCAACTGCCAGCAGTAAGGCCCAGCATGTATCGATGCTGTTTCGCGCAACTGCCCATACCAGGGGCCATCTTGTGCCGATGGTGGTCGAGGCAACCGCCCGTACTAGGGGCCATCTTCTACCGATTGTGGTCAAGGCAAGAGCCTACACCAAGGGCCAGCTTGTACCAATGGTGGTCGAGGCAACCGCCCGTGCCAGGGGCCATCTTCTGCCAATGGTGGTCGAGACAATCGCCCGCACCAAGGTCCAGCATGTGTCGATGGTGTTCGAGGCAACTGCTCGCACCAAGGCCCAGCATGTGCCGATGGTGCTCGAGGCAACCGCCCGCACCAAGGCCTAGCATGTGCAAATGGTGTTCGATGCAATCGTCCGCACCAGGGACCATCTTGTGCCAATGGTGGTCGAGGCAACTACCTGCACCAAGGCCCGGCACATATTGATGGTGTTCAAGGTAACCGCCCACACTAGGTGCCATCTTATACCGATGGTGGTCGAGGCAACCGCTCGCACCAAGGCCCAACATGTGCTGATGGTGTTTGATGCAACCGCCCGCACCAGGGGCCATCTTATGCCAATGGTGGTTGAGGTAACCGCTCACACCAAGGGCCGACTGGTGCCGATGGTGCTCGAGGCAACGGCCCACACCAAGGCCACGTACGTGTCGATGGTGTTCAAGGCAACCGCCCCCGCCAAGGCTCGGCATGTGCCAATGGTGGTCGAGGCAACCGCCCGTACCAGAGGCCATCTTGTGCCGATGGTGGTCTAGGCAATCGCTCGCACCAAGGGTCGGCTTATGCCAATGGTGGTCGAGCTAATCGCCAGCACCAAGGGTCGGCATGTGCCGATGGTGATCAAGGCGACCGCCTGTACCAGGGCTCAGCTTGTGCCGATGGCGGTCGAGGTAAGTGCCCATACCAAAGGGCAGCCTGTGTCGATGATGGTCGATGCATGTGCCATCAACAATGCGCCATCATGGTGCCATTGATGGTCAAGGCCTTGGCCGAAAGTTCAATTTGTGAGCCACGGTGGCACATGCTTGGGCTTCCGATCCATGGTCTGGTGGTTGCATTATTTTTTCACCTGGGGCAACCATCGTCGGAGTCATCACCGGAGCATCGTCGGAGAACCCTGACAAGCCGACATTAGGTGGGGTCCGGCGATTGGGGGCCAAGGGGGTGTGCACACATGATGTGGCGATGGGTGCTGGTACTTGGGCCCTTATATGGGCCCCCTATGCCCTCATCAAACCTCGAGAAGCTTCACACCCCTTTAAAGAGCAATTTGAGATTTTATAGGTTTGTTGCCGTAGCCATTCAAGTGTCTGAAATGGGGACACTTTTTTCAAATGGTCACAAAATCTTCTCCACTTCGAGTTTTTAGCTGAACGTTTTTGTACATGCCAACAAAAATAAAAGGATCACGTCTACAAAATTTGGGGCCAAAACTCCTTCTAAAAAAATTTTAAAAAATCTCGAACCGCAAAAAGTTTTGAAAATCATGAAAAATAAAAAATGAGTCGTCTTGCTACGAAACTTCACATGAAGGCTTAGGGGACCATTGTATGAATTTACAAGACATAAAAATGGCATTGGCACAGCAAAAATATGAAGATGTGCCTAAACCCACCTACCACCCCGATCAATCCACGGCT